TAAATTTATGGTTCTATTTTGTGAGGTTCTGACCACCTGCAGAATTATTTTTACAAGCTAACCTTCAATGACCTATATATTAGTCATTATTACACAAAAGATATGCTCACAATAAATCAATACCTTTTAGGATCAGGACCAAAAACATAAAAGCAAAAAAATGAAAAATCTGTACTCCTATGTTGCAGTAGTTGTAACACTGTTTTCTTATGAACAGTTGCTAAACAGAAGGCTATCTGTCACTTGGGACTGGTTATCTGGTCTCTCTAATATTGCTCTAGTTTTGTCATCTGAGGTGGATCAGGTCACCAGGAAATTATAGTCATGCTGTATCAGCACCAACAGGTCTGTTTATTTTTCACTTCTGATTTGCATTCTGCCTTCTACCCTGCCTGAAGCAACATCAAAGCATCTTCAGGAGCGTGAGGGTGATAGGTGTAATGATTATCAAGAGAGTATAAACATCAGGGAAAGGAGAAGGGCATGGAATAGATGGGGCAAAGCTGGAATAGAAGATAGGCAGAAAGCCAAGGAAGTTAAGAGAGCCAGAAAGAAGAGGTCAGGGTGAAGAAAACAAAAGGGATAGGTAAGACTTAAATGGCAGGTTGAAGAAAGCAGGGAATAAGAGAGAAGACAGACTTAAGACAAAACTGCAAATAAAGCAGGGTAACACTACGGCAAACTGTTTGTGAGGAAGGGGTTGTAAACAGATTGTTACAGAAAAGAGGTGAAAATAAAGAATTTAAATTGCTGAGATGCTAAACTGCCTAAAATTAACTGTCCGATAAACATTTTAACAGTTCCATTGCGGGACGGGACCCTTTTCTTAAGAGATCTCATTTAGAAGTGGGTTTAAGGATAAAAGCCTGGTTCAGACAATTTCACCAAGGAGGTCTTTTGCAAATTGGCTTCACTTGAATATAGAGGCCCTCAAAGTATTGTTAAAAATAGCAAGTGGACACCCAACTTTACCTTTTCCAATACATAATTTCAGCACACAAAAATGCAAAGGTAGTGCATAAGCAGTTTCTTTAAGGATATGTACACAACATAGGCTTTTCACATAAAGTTTTTACGTGTGAAAAACACTCATCACTGGGTCAGTCCTTCCCAAATTCAAATTAGGTCCACTTTTTAAAAGTGTAATTATTTGAAAGTTAGTTATGGGCTGGCAGTCTGAGCATGAGACCATGAGCCTGAGATACCTAACTTCTAACTAAGGAATTGCATTTTGAGTTGTTCTGTGCTATCTAGTCTTTCTGCTGCAAGAAAGGTTGGTTTTGAGGGCAAAAGGACCTAGGACAACTGGGTCTTGCCTCACAATTTCCTGTGTTTCTTATCTGTACAACTACTATAAGGGGAGTTCAGGAAGAGTGGTTTCTCCTCAAGGGAGTGATCCTCAATGCACAAGCTAATTCTTTTCCATCTCGGAGGAAAGGCAGCGAAAGAGCACAGCAGCCCTCCTGGCTCTCCAGGGATCTAGCAGCCCCCCTGAGGCTAAAAAAAAAGGCCTACAAAGAATGGAGGATGGGATTCACTTCCAAGGAGGAATATTCTTCCAAGCAGGACTGGTTCGGACCTGCAGGGAGCAAACCAGGAAAGCCAAGGCTGCAACTGAACTCCAACTAGCTTCGGGTATCAAGGACAATAAAAAAGTCCTTTTTCAGATATGTGGGGAACCGGAGGAAAAACACTGGACCCCTGCTAAACCAGATGGGACAACTGACAACTAACGCCCAGGAAAAAGCCCACCTATTAAATGGGTACTTTGCATTGGTCTTTCATCAGTCCCATGGGACGCCCATGCCCACTACGGGACAGGGAGGTCTGCATGAGGGAGACTGCCTGTCCTCCATCAATGCTGACCTCGTGAAGGAATACCTTGAGAGGCTGGATACCTTCAAGTCAGCTGGCCCTGACAAGCTACACCCCAGGGTACTCAAGGAGCTGGCAAGAATCATAGCTCAGCCTCTGGCACGGATCTTTGAGAACTCCTGGCGCTCTGGAGTAGTGCCTGAAGACTGGAAGAAGGCCAATGTGGCGCCTATCTTCAAGAAAGGGAGGAAAGTGGATCCGGCAAACTATAGGCCCATCAGCCTGACCTCTATCCAGGGAGAGGATCTTAGAAAAGTTTATTAAAGAAACCATTCTTAATGGACTGGCTGACACCAACATCCTGAGGGATAGCCAGCACGGGTTTGTTGTGGGTAGGTCTTGCGTGACCAATCTCATTTCCTTCTATGACCAGGTGACCTATTACCTGGACAAGGGAGAAGAGATTGATGTCATATATCTTGACTTCAAAAAAGTCTTCAATCTGGTATCCCATGATCACCTCTTGGCGAAACTGGCCAATTGTGGCCTTGGGTCCAACATGATCCGCTGGCTGGGAAATTGGCTCCATGGTTGGACCCAGAGGGTGGTAATTGATGGAAGTCACTCATCATGGTGCCCTGTGACCAGTGCGGTCCGCCAAGGCTCTGTCCTTGGACCCATATTGTTCAACATCTTCATTAGTGATATGGACACTGGAGTCAGAAGTGGACTGGTCAAGTACGCCAATGACACCAAACTTTAGGGCAAAGCATCCACACCTGAAGACAGGAGGGCGATCCAGGCTGACTTGGACAGGCTCAGCAAATGGGTGGACGAGAACCTGATGGTGTTTAACACTGAAAAATGCAAGGTTCTCCACCTTGAGAGGAAAAACCTGCAGCATCCTTATAGGCTCGGCAGTGCTACACTGGCTAGAACTATGGGAGAAAGAGACTTGGAGGTCATCATTGACCACAAGATGAACATGAGCCTTCAATGCAATGCTGCAGCTAGTAAAGCGAGCAAAACACTGGTTTGCATCCATAGATGCTTCTCAAGCAAATCCTGGGATGTCATTCTCCCCTTGTACTCGACCTTGGTGAGGCCGCTGCTGGAGTATTGCATCCAGTTTTGGGCTCCACAATTCAAAAAGGATGTGGAGAAGCTTGAGAGAGTCCAGAGAAGAGCCACGCGCATGATCAGAGGTCAGGAAAACAGACTTTGCGACAAGAGCTATGGGGCTCTTTAGCCTGGAAAAGCGCAGGCTTGGGGGTGATCTGGTGGCCACCTATAGGTTTATAAGGGGTGCTCACCAGGATCTGGGAGAACATCTGTTCACCAGGGCACCCCAAGGGATGACAAGGTCAAACGGTTATAAACTACTGCAAGACAGTTTCAGGCTGGACATAGGGAAGAATTTCTTTACTGTCCGAGCCCCCAAGGTCTGGAATAGCCTGCCATCAGAGGTGGTTCAAGCATCTACATTGAACACTTTCAGAAGAAAATTGGATGTTTATCTTGCTGGGATCCTATGACCCCAGTTGACTTCCTGGCCTTCGGGCGGGGGGCAGGACTCAATGATCTTCCGAGGTCCCTTCCAGCCCTAATGTCTATGAAATCTATGAAATATAAGAACTAGGCTTTTGCCTCTCTCCACCACGATGTTAAACTAAGGAAATATAACTTAAACTAAACTATTACATAATGAGTGCATCTATACATGAACTTTATTGATGAGTTGACTAATTAGCTCTTCAGTAAAGCATCACTATCTACATGTGCACCAGTATTAGGGCACAATAAATTAATTAACTCTGCCGTAAGATAGTACTGCCGGGGAAAGTACAATCTTATAGTGGAGTACTTAACTCTGCCAAAACACACATGTAGATGGTGACAAGGGCTGGCTGGGGCACAAGGGTGCTGAAGTGCAAGGGCTTCCCACTACCTAGCTCTGCATTTCTGCACCCTCGTGCCCCAGCCCCTCCACTGCCTGATGCCACCACCTGGAGTCCAGGGCTGACATCCCAGACCTCCTGCCAGCCCGGGGCTGTTACGCACTGGCTCAAACTGCTGTGGTCCTGGGTGCATGTGCAGGTGGTATGCCCAGGAGCAGCTGACTCCAGCACAAACTGCACCAGTTTATCATGTCACCTCAATGGCATATGTAGATGCACTCAATGAGTGCAAAACTGGTTGGAAAACTATGCTTACTGTTAAATTGAGAGGAAGTATGAAATGGAGTTCCCTAGGGTCTATCCTGGATCCCATCTTATTCAGTACCTTTATTTACAATTTCAGAAGACATAACTGAATGCATATTTAATATAGTAAATCTGCCAGTGACAACGAACGGGTAGGTTAGCAGACTATGGAGAACAGGTTTAGGAAATGTCCCTGATAAACTGAGAAAATGGCTTCAAATAAATTCAAGGAAGTTCAGTTAAGACAAGTGTAAAGTATTAAGGCAGTACAATCAAATGCACACATATAAACTGAAAAACAACTGGTTAGGCTGCAGTAATGAGCAAAGGGCTTGCAGAGTACAGTGCATCACAAACTGAATATGAGTTTACAATATAATACTGTTGCAGAAAAAGAGATAATAGCCTAATGATAAATATTAGTAGGAATGTTATAAGTCAGTCAATGGAACTGATATGCTTCTAATCAGCATTGGTAACACCACCTGGAATACTGTGTCTAGTTTGGGTTACTGCATTTCAAGGAAGATGTAGACAAACTAGAGAGAATCCACAGGACAGCAACAAAAATCATCAGAAGTCTAGAAAATATGATTTATGTGGAAAAACTGGAGGAACTCGGATTATTTAGTTTGGAGACAGGAAAATAAAGGGCTGAAGAGAAGCAGAGGCAGAGAGAAACAAAGTGATTGCTCCATACCTGTACAAGGGTAGAGCTGGGAACAAAATCAAGGTCTCCTGGCTCCCAGTCTAAAGCCTTATTGAAGAGGTGACTCTATCCCTGTTTTGGCTGCCAAGCACTTCAGCAACCTGATTTTTAATTTACCTGTCTTTAAATTTATAGCAACATACACTTATTGGTTCTGTACTTGCCACTGTGTCCATGGTGAGCAAAAGTTATTGCATGAAAACTGTTTTGAGAATTCATGGTATTGTGTATTGTTATTATTAGCACAGTAGGTACTTCCTGCAAAGTCCTACCTGTGTGTGTCCTTCGGTGAGCCTTCAGATGAGAACTTTTTGTGTACACTTTGTTGCATCCTTCAAAATCACATCTGTGGATGCGCCGTTTCCTGGAGTCTGGGGATTCAGATCTTCTCTGGCGTCTTGTGCTCTCAATACTGAATTGTGAAATTGGACTGTAAAATATAACAACATTTAAAAAAATTAGGCAGGGGATTATCATACATATTGGGCATCAAGTATTACTCAGAAATTAATAGACTACAAAGATAAAAAGATTTATTGTGTTTTTTCTAGTTTTGCCTCCTGAGAAACACAGACCATAAGCCATTTCTTCTCTGAATAAAGTTCTGTTTGAACTAGATGTAAGCTTCTGAGAAAATGAATCCAGGTTTAAGTTAAAAATTTCCCATGATGAAGAATCTACTACAAACCTTTCTATGTCTCTTCAGTGGTTAATTATGCTTACTACAACATATTTAATTTTTAGTCTGGATTCAACTAGCTTAGAGTTCCAGCCTTGATCATGTTATATCTTTGTCTACTAGAGTGTTATATTTTTGAAGTTCTGTTTTCTCAGGGACATATGTATTCATTGTAGTGAAGTCTACCCTTCATTCTGAACCTTCTGTTTGATAAAGTAGGTCAGAAGTGCTCAACCTTCTGGTCCCACAGGCTTGATGAGTGGTGCTGGGCCAGTACACAGGCTGGATTCCATTGGTGGGATCAGTTTGTGGGCCTGATCTAGAGTGGGGTTGGTCCATGAGTGTAATCCAGTGTTCTGGCTTGGCCTCATGTGCCAGATCTGGCCACAACCTGACCCTGTTTATTGGACCCAGGTGCAGCTGGACTCTGTGCACTGGCCCAACTTCACACACTAGCTCTGACTGCAGACTAACATTTTATACCAGTGTGATCAGCAGGGATCCTGGTTTTCTCTGATTAAAAAAACAAATCCCCAATTTTCAGATTAAAAAAAGTAATGCAAAATCCACATTTTTCTGTGAGTAAAATGAAATCATGGAAAAATGTGGATTTTGGGTTACTTTTTTAATCTGAAAATTGGGGATATTTTTTATCAGAGAAAACCAGGATCCCTGGTGATTAGGACCATGTCATTTGGGCCACATGGTTCCAAAGGGGTCTAGAAATTTATCAGTGAGGGAGCATTCATTGCTGCGACTCTACAACCTGGAGTTCCACAGGGAACTCAATGCCCCAGATAACACTGCCCTTCAGGCTGGACATTGAGCACCACTGAACTAAATAGATTAGGATCCTGGAGCCTCTCATTGTCTACAAAAGCCTATTACATTACAATTTCCAATCCATTTATTGTGCTCATGGCTCTTCTCTGAACCTTCCTCAGTTTCACTATATACAATATGTAACAAAGAACTACACAAAGTCATCCAACAGAAGTTGCATCACTGCCAAATGCACAACTACGCAGCTTATTATTCTTGCTTGATATTCCCGTGTTTACATATCCAAGATTCACATTACAATACCTCTTTTGACAATCTCATTACAAGTTCATATTTGGCTGATGTCCCCATGGCCTTCAAGCCTTTTTCAGAACACAGTTCCTCATCATATCTGACCTATATTCTTTGTTCCTAGGTTTATGACTTCATATTTGGCTTGACCATACTGCTTTCTTGCATCCAACTTGGCAAGAGATTCAAATTGTTCTGCACTGGTAGTCGTTTTTCTTCATTATTTACCATTCATCCAACTTTTATGCCACTTGTATATTTTATGTTAACCACATCAATAACAATTGCACGTTTTCTGCTAGGTCACTTATTACAAAAAAAATGCTAAATGACATTTAAAACCAAGACCTTTGGGCTTTCACAAAAAATACACATTTGAGCTAGTGGGTGAGTCTCCATGAGACATTTACTAGAGTTGACTAATCAGCTCTGCAGTAAATGTCTTGCGTCTACACATGCAGTGCTATTAGGATGGAGGAAGCTAATTAGCTCCGCAGTAGGTTAGTACTTGTACATATAAGTACTATCCTACTGTGGAATGTTTCATGCTGCAGCAGCACACGTGTAGATGTTGATGTGGCTGGCAGGGACACGAGAGTGTTTCAGTGCAGGGGCACCAGCTAGCCCTGCCCTGAAGCACCCTCATGCCCCAGCCAGCCCCTCTGCAGCATGTTGAGCTGAGTCAGAGCAGCCAGGCGGTTGGCAGACTGACCCCTTCCCTGGGCCTCCTGCTAGCTGGGGCTGCTCTTCCCTGGCTCAAAGTGCAGCAGCCCCAGGCACACGTTCAAATGGTGCACCCAGGAGCAATAAACTCCAGGGTTTCCTGTTTTGCATTAATTGCACATGTAGCTGTACCCAGTTTAATGTATGTATCAGGTGCCATGGTAGCTTTATATTACTCTACTTTCTTAATAAAAAAGGCACATGATACTAAGCAAAATGCTCTACAAAAGCCTATTACATCAATGCTATTAACCAAATTTGTGATATTATAAAAATATAAGATTACTGTGATAATATCTATTTTTCCATAACCTCATATTGACTGGTATTGACTGGTATTGACTATATTTTCTTCCTTTAACTGATAATTGAGTCCCATATCAACCACTCCATTATTTTATTCAGGAATGATGTTGGGCTGATAGGCCTAACACTACCTAGTTATCCAGCTTACTCATTTTAAAAACTGATATAAAACTGGATTTTCTTCAGTCCTCTGCAACTTTAGTAGTCTAGATATCTCATCAGACAACTCTTTTAGAACTCCTGGATACAGTTATCAAATCATAGAATTCAATACTCTGTATACAAAGCAGTTTGCTATATATATTTTTTTAAAGCATTATTTTAATTTGGAGTTTCCCATGCTAATTTTTATACTTTTTGAGAAAGTCAAAGCATTTTCTTATTTATATATATATTTGTTTTGTGTGTAAGATAACCCTAAGCATCAAACTAACAAAGTTCTTTCTTGGGAATATATATATATACATGCGCGCGCACACACACACACAGATCTATCTATCTATCTAGCTAGCTAGCTAGCTGTGTGTGTATGTGTGCACATTCATGTGTGAGAGTGGGTGGGTGCATGTACTACCAGTGGCTGTATTTCAAGGAGACTATTTAAAAAAACAGATGAATCCTTGCACTTAAAAAAAACTAGCTAAATTAGCTATACCAGCTATTTAGATACTTGACAAGAATAGGAACAAATCTATCTGGGCAGCAAATGGCTAAGGAGTTGTGTTTTGGCATCTGCATTTTGCAAGAGGCAAGGGAAGGGGAATATGTCTTTCATGGAGCTAATTCATAATGCTAAAGACGTTATTTTAAAACATTCCCACCAGCCAAAATAAAACCTAAATGTGGAAAAAAAAGACAGGATGGCAGGAAGGTATAAGGGGTGTGCATCAGGATCTGGGGAAACACCTGTTTACCCAAGGGATGACAAAGTCCAACGGGCACAAACTGCTGCAAGACTGTTTTAAACTGGACATAAGAAAAAAACTTCTTTGCTGTCTGAACCCCCAAGGCCTGGAATAGACTCCCCACCAGAAGTGGTGCAAGCACCTACTTTGGACACTTTTAAGAAACATTTGGATGCTTATCTTGCTGGGATCCTTTGACCCCAGCTGACTTCCTGCCCCTTGGGCAGGGGGCTGGACCTGATCATCTTATGAGGTCCCTTCAAGCCCTAATGTCTATGAAATCTATGAAATCTAAGGCAGGCAGTTCCTGCCCAGGGCAGGGGGGACTTGATGATCTGTTCAGGTCCCTTGCGACCCTAGAAGCTATGAAACTATAAGGTAGGCAGGCAGGAAGGAAGCTCCCCTCCCATCAAAAAACAAATCCTAAACCACAAATACCATATGGGCAGAAAATACTGCGTGCACAAAATCATAAAAATATTATCTTAAAAAGCATGTTTATTGTTCTTTTCTGCATGTGATTTATGATTTGCCTTAGAAGTTTCTTTTGGATGAGGCGTTCAAGTCCTGGATGGTTCATTCTGTTTGAACGTTATGTTCAGTGGGAGGAGAATTAAGTTTATAATATTGTTGCGAGTTCTAGCTCTGAGTAAAACAAATATAGAGCATAATCAGAAGCTAAGATATGTTATCATAAAATTGACATTTGAACAGTTTCGGGGTGGGGAGACAGGGGAGAAGAGAGGAAGATATGAAAGAAAAGGTATTGCAGGGGTGACAAAGGATCCACATTGCTACCCTTTTAGGTGCTCAGTACCTCACATGGGTAAAGCTCCTGCATTCAGAAGCAAGGCATAAAGTAGATGACAATGCATTTCCTTTCTATCTAGGAAATCACATATAAATAATATGTCATCTTCTTAAAGACCTCAGTGAGAGGGAGGGGTGTTAAGATACTGCTAACCATGAGTTGTACCTGTGATCCAAACATTGTAGCTATTTCAGCAATGTGAACTAAATAATGCACCAACCAGCCATAAAAGCTATATAAAACAACTTTAAGCCTAAGTACAGACAGTCAAAAAGCCTGAGGCTAAATCGATTCAGTCTTTGAAGGTTAGTCTAAACTACGCCTGATCTAAAATGCTGCTGCTTGCTTGTGCCTCTCCTCATCAGCACAGACTTCAACATCTGTTGAACTTTATACAGCAACTGTGATGGCATGGGATACAGGTGTGATGGAGGATACACACTGACCCTGTGAGGCAGGCAGGGAAGAAAACCCTTCAATGGGCATGTAGAAAGAAACTGTCCCTAAAAGAACTGCCTGAGGTATCAGATTGGGAAAGAAAATCTGGAACCTATGCTTCTCAGAAAAACACTGTCAGATGCATCAGCTCAGCTGGTTTTTAAAGGGCCATTTTCCTCCTACCCAGGGTTGGGATTTAACTCTTTGCTGGGTCATCTCCAGTGAGGCATTATGGGTATATTCTGGGACACCATGGCTGAGTGTTGTGGCTCAGCATCAAAACTACACCATATTTAACTCTGTTTAACTAATAGTCAGAATTTGTGTCTTAATGTCAATATTATGTTTGTTTTTTCTTAATTAACTTATTTTAATGACCATATAGCTTGTGTAAAAACTATTGCAAAGATGGGACTACTGTTCTCATATAAGCAACAACAATAACTGTATTTGTTACTGCACAATTAAACCGTAGGTAAAACCAACACAATCAA